TAACATATGCAAAATGGTTTCCCCAAAGCTTCCAAGATGTTATATAAGAATGATATCATGAACTTCTTACAACTTCCACGCTTCATCCTAGGCTTGTAGTCCGTGGATGTGATCCGTGGATGACTTGTAGTCATGGTCATTTAATTATACCTTATATATAAGTGCTACCTAATACTTTACCATCACATTATCTATGTCCATTTTTGCGTCTATCAATCACTTTAGCTATTAATGTTGTAATTGATTATCGAGTGATACGGCAAGATTGATATTTTTGTATAGTTATTATTATATTGGGATAATAAAGCAAACATATGCCTTGGTTTGATGAATTCATTCATAGTTTCGGTTTTCTTGGATGGTTATCAAAGATGGTTAGATTGGTTAAGTGGAGAATCCCTCCAAAAGGTCGTCTAATTGCTTATACGATTCAAGTTAGGTTAGTTGTTAAATTTTCAAGAGAGGCATGGTTATGATACCATAATAGCTAAAAGAAAACTTGAAGAGAAATTAAAGAGACGATTCGAAAAAAGCATTTTTCTTATTAGATTGCGGCGATTACATCAACTCTTCCTTTATAACGGAAATACAATCGAATAGCAATGCAACATGTCTCTTCTAGTTGAACATGGAGAGGGAACAAAGAAGATCAAAATGGTTACTGATGTTGAAAGAGCTAATAGTGAAAAATTCATTAAGAGTTTGATTCAAATATTTTTACAATCATTTTCCGCGCATAAAATGTTTAAGGTATATAGGTTTTGGGTGATTAAGTCAAATTTAGCATAATCTCAACCAACATGGATAATCTAACACGAACCAACCCTAGTAATCATCACCTAACCATCAAATCTTCATATCCAACAAAATGACTACTCACTAAACATTAAGAAAACCCAAACAAAATGATATAAAGGATACAATGAAGAAACTCATCACTCATTTACATAAAAAGAGGAAGATCTGATCCAAAATGTAAAAAACATTGTTTAGATTTCCAAAACCAATACCCATATTGACTATTGAGAGAAGAAAACTTAGGGGTTTTACAATGTGTCTAGAAATGTATTTATACTAAATAGATTAAAAAAACGAGACAAATCGAGTTGAATCCTAAAGTTCAAAAGAAAGAGTTTGATGTGAGTGGTCTTTCTGATCTTCTGTAAGCCAATAGAAATTGAGGTGAAACTTTCTGAACATAAATGTTGGTCTGATTGGTCTTAGTGATCTATTGCAAACTGATCACGAGCGGAGTGGTTTTAGTGATCGGTTGTCAATCAATCGATGATGTCTTTGCTATTTTTACCCCTTATTTGACTCTCTTTAGCTCCCATATTCAAGCTCAACCTCTCCAATGCGTATCCTAGGTACAATATAACCTGAAAAGACTCCAACTATGAAAAATAGAATATTAATCTAAGGTAATCTAAGGTAAACCTATACAACAAGAAACAAGACTCAAATGCAAAATAAAATCACTAAATGACTTAAAATGAGAAGGAAACAAAGGGGGAATAAATGATTTATAGCAAGTAAAAGCCGACAATATAATAATGATAATAAACGGCGAGGAGAATTTGCTTTTGCATAAATGATCTAGCACGTACAATGAGTGAAGTTTGATGGAGAAAAAAAATCATAAAATGTGAAACAATGGTCTTCACCGGTATATTAAGCTCTGATAGCCCCTGTTAGATGATCATGAGTCATCTTTAAATTGCAAATGAATAATCACGATACAATGAGAATGAGTGAAGTTGATGGATAAAATCAATAAATTTGGGAATAAGCTTTGCAACTAAAATTTATATACTTGGATTTTAACAAAATCAACACTTTGGGCCCTAGTGTTTGGACTACATGAGCTTTCTTGCACAATTTCATTAGTATTTTGTTAAAGTGCAGTATACTCTTTGTTCTTAATATTTAGGGTTTACCGCAGTACTAGTGCAGCCTATCCATCATGAAATCCTGGCAGAAAAACGTCTCAATCCCGATAGATCTCATTGTTGAGATCTTCTTAAGGTTGCCACTGAAATCTATAGCGAGATCTCGTTGCGTATCGAAGCTTTGGGCCTCCCTTCTTTGCCGTCAAGATTTCACAGAGCTGTTCTTGACCAAATCTTCAGCTCGGCCACAACTCTTGTTCGCTTGCAAAATAAATCATGAGCTCTTCTTCTTTTCCGTAAATCAGCCGCAAAACCCTGATGAGAACTCTTCTATTCTGATTGACAATCATCTTGCTCATTTTCCCTGTGATGCTAAAGTCTTTGCACCTGTCAATGGTTTCTTCTGCTTAGGTCTTGAAGATGAAAAGATCTTAAATGGCAGGGAATATAGAGAGTTGGTGTCGATGATATGTAATCCAAGCACTCGACAATCCTTTACCTTACCCAAATGGAAAACGAAGAGGAGGAGAGGAGTGGGAGCTATCTTGGATATGATCTTACTAAGAAACAATTTAAGGTATTGTCCATGACCTGGTTAGCTAAAAGTGGGAGTATCTCTGAGGAGCATCAAGTTATGACACTAGGAACTGACACATGTTCTAGTTATAGAAACCACATTAAAAAAGAAGATACGTACATTATGCTATTGAGCTCAAATTTTGCTTTCACATCAATGATCCTACACGATACAATGAATGAAGTTGATGGATAAAATAAAATAAAATCATAAATTTGGGAATAAGCTTTGCAACTAAAATTTATATACTTGGATTTTAATAAAATCAAGACTTTGGGCCCTAGTGTTTGGGCTACCAGAGCTTTGATCGGCACAATTTAATTAGTGGGATTTATTGGTTTTGGTATTTTAATGGATTTGGAAATCATAGGATTTGGAAATCCATATAGAATTCATTGATTTCAAAATCAAATAATGTGGATTTAAGAATCAATAAACAAGATTTCAAAATCAAATAAAGTGGATTTATAAATCCTAACAACAAAAAAAGCTTGATAAAAAAAAACAATAAGCTAGGAGCTCTCATGATCGTTCTCCACATTCATGGAAAAATCTTCAACACAATTTGTTTGCTCTTTTTGTGCTTCACTTGTTCGTGCATCCGTACCCTCGCCTAAACCAATAGCATTCCCACCAGTAGCTATGTTATTTCCGAATATCACTTTGAGATCATCAAATTCTTCAAACGTTTCTTTACGAAAAGTTTTGTAATTCGGATGGGCCTAAATCAATAAAAAAAACAGTGATATTATTAMAAAAGTTGTTCAACAAATTAGAACAATATAACAAAAAATCAAACCATACACGTTACCGAAGAAAAGAATTTTGTACATACACGATACCAACATCACAACTTCTATATGAGACTATCACAATATAACTTATAATCAAATTACCATCACATCATAACTTATTATATAATGGATTCCTTAATCCTATGAAGATAAAAATCCATTAAAATTTTATAAAGAAAAATTTACCTTCATATAATCAGTCCACACTTCGTCAGAAGCCGTAAACCGTTTTGTGATTGGATCCCATCCAAATCCAGAGCTGAARCGAAGAATTTCAACACCACTTAGATATTTTTCCTTCAAGGTCTTCATTTTATTTGTGTAGTGTTTATGAGTTTTGACACACCCATGGGTTTGATTAATAACAGGTAGTATTCTTTTTTCAACAGTTAAATTGCTGAATGTTCCGTTTGCATCACGCCAACCTGCAGCAACACCATCTAAAAGTAAATTTATCAAAGTTTTGGTTTCTTGTGGACTCCATGAATTGTACACTTTTTCCATAGCTTGTTGTGAATCTCCCATTGATCTTTGATTTTTTGAAAAATTATTATAATATATGTTTGTTTACATAGAGATGCTCTGAATATATAGAAAATTTTATTCCTTCTTATGATATAGAAATCTTTTTGGAAGATATTTGTTTGAAAAAAACATTATTGAGATTTCCATAACAAACATATATAGAGATCTTCTTGGAAGAAATCTGCACGTGTTCATYTTTGTGTAATCATGAGAAAATATATGGAAKTTCCGAAAGTGTGTCAAATCAATTCCAAATAACAAGATCTTGCTAA